ATTTTATAATTTTGAATTTTGATAATTTGTAACTTATTTGAAATTGATAAATTTAATTTTATAATTTGTAATTCCAAGATAAATACTATAAAAATTACTCTGCAATTGAATTAATAAAATAATAAATATTGGAAGTATTAAATAAAAGTTATATTAAATGATAAAGAATGTAGTTAACAAAGGAATAATGGATATTATGAGATTAAATACTTGATTGTATAATTATATAATATTATTATTCTGGAGTTAATGAAATTATTTATAAACCGTTATTATAAATCCTGGATTTGGAATAATATTTAATCTGGATAATTGGGAATATTATTTAAAATTGATAAAATTAAAAGATGATTAATGGATAGATATTAATACTAAAGATAATAACAAACTTGAAAAGATATTGAAATAAATTAGATGAAAGGTTTGATTCTCTTTCTAAAATAATTTAATCAGTGGTACCTTCTAAAATAACTGAACAACAGTCTTACCTTTAGGAAAGGATTATAAACTTCTTAAAAGAACTGTTAAGTCACTCTACTGGTTTGACCTCAGGAAAACCAGGAGCTACCAGTGACAATGTTTAATAGCAATTGTTACAGATAATGGTGTAAATATAAAATCAGCATTTTCTATATTAATTCAAAAAGATAAATGTGAAAATATTCAATGAATTTCCTGTATAGCTTATACACTTCAGTTGACAATTGGTAAAGGATTAGCATCTGTAAAAATTCTTATAGCATGTGTAAAACGAGTAATTGATTTTTTTTCAACACAAAAACAAATAGAAAAATTAGAAGAAACACAATTCAAATTAAATTATCAAGATATATTATGATGTATTTAAGATGTTTTAACATGTTAGAATTCTTCTTATTATGCTTGGGATCATTTTTTTTATTGACTTCAAGTTGATTTACTTACAAGTACAAATAGCAAAGATAAAAATGATGGAAATAAATTAAAAAAAATTATGTTATCTGAAGAAAAATGGAAATTATTAGACAAATTAATTAATCTTTTAGCATCAGGAAATTTAATTAGGCATAAATTTACAGAAATATCACATAACGTCTAGAAATTTACGCCTGAAAAATTTAATTTTTAACTTCAGCTGAGATTTAGGCGACAGGGAGCGATTTTCTACTAAGATATTTCTAAGATAGATCGAAAGCCCTGGTTTTTGGCTACAAGATGATATATGTTTTATTGCCACAGCATCGATATTTGCGGAGAAATTCACGTTTAAATTCAAACGTCCGTGAAAATTTATGCCATAATTTTTCAGTAAATTTTTGTAATTCTGCCGGAAATTTTTATTACGTCACAAAAATTTCGGCAGAATTACGAAAATTTATGGAAAAATTATGGCATAAATTTTCACGGACATTTGAATTTAAACATGAATTTCTCCGCGAATATCGATGCTATGGCAATGAAACATATATCATCTTGTAGTCAAAAACCAGGGCTTTCGATCTATCTTAGAAATATCTTAGTAGAAAATCCCTCCCTGTCACCTAAATCTCGGCTGAAGTTAAAAAATTAAATTTTTTAAGTGTAAATTTCTGTAGATCATGTGATATTTCTGTAAATTTACGCCTAATTAAATTTTCTGATGTAACGTTACTGTGTCAATATATATTCAATTATTGGATTATTAATTATGAGGTATATATTGTGTCTCATTATATTGGTGATATACATGGATCACGGTTCTCAACGATGATCAAAGCACCTTGTCAAACAAGTATCAATTTGATGAGAGAGCAACTAAAGAAATAATGAAAGTGAGAGCTCCTTTGGTCTCCAATATAGTCAGAATGCATTGACAACCTTGTTAAAAAAGATTCAGAACTTACAAGAGTTACCGTTGATTTTTAGAATCAGTATTGATTCTTGCTCCAGTTCCAGTTTTCGTTCCAACTATGGTATAAGAGTCTGCATTTTTATTTTCAAGATATGAAGACATCAAATACAACCTTTACACCAGCTTCCTGCAAAGAGGAGCTACGTTATTTCAACAATTTTCTGAGCCTAATACTTATAATTCAAATGTTATTATCTAGTTACTAAATTACCAACTTGAAATCCAATGTTTGATACTGGAAATCTTGAAAAAATCTTGGATTCAATCATTTGTTACTAAATTACATGATAACAATGGTCTTCAGTGGTAGCTGCATACATATGTGGATGATCTACTTCGGATTGCTAAGTTAAACAACTATATTTTCAAAATCAAAAATCAATATCACGCAAATTGTACATTAAAGATAAATCATGTAGAAGCTAACTCAATCAATTTTTTAGCAGGACAAATACCTGCAAAATGTTTGACCAAACAATGAATTGAAGAACTGCAGATTGCAGTGGGGATTCTTGTCCGTGGTAGTGAGAATATATGTTCTACTAAAAAATATACAAATTAGATATTATAGGCAGTTCTACATACATATCTTTTATTTTGCTAAAAAATTGGAAGGAACTTTGATAAAGTTTTTAAAAAAAAAACAATCAGCTGAGATTAAATTGCTGAATCAAAAGAAAGACACAAAGTACTAATAGCATTGGTCAAAATTGGCAAACTTTTGCAATGGATAGAAATTAGTTAGCTATATTTGAATCACTTTTTAGTTGAATTTTGACCCCGGTCTAAGTATAGTATTCTAAACTGGATGTTAGGTTAAGGATCCGCATATGATTGAATCGAAATCATGTGATGTGATTTCAGAATATATTAAAAAAGATATTCATAATTTTTATTAACCAAAAACAGAATTTAGTCTTAGTCACCGCAGAAAATCATCGTCCCTGGGTCAGGTTAAAGGACCCGCATATGATTGAATAGCAATCATGTGATATGATTTCATTATGACTAATATAAACGCTTTTTTCTTTTTTTTTTCAATTTTTCAACTTTTCGTTTTGAACGAAAATAATTTATTATTATTTTTTTCCCTTTTCCGCTTTTTTTTTTGCTCTATAAGTTTATAACCTTTAATTAATATTATTATAATTCTTCTTTCTTTTAGCTATACCTTTTTTAATTATATTTTATGATTTCATAAATTAAGAACTAAAGAAAAGTAAGTTATTCGTTTATATTATTTATTTCCTTTTTTTTTTGTTTTTCTTCCTTTATTACTTCCATTTTCTAACTTTTCTCATATCCTTTGCCATATCCAAAACTTTATATACGCGTTCTTGTGCTTAATACTGTTAGTGCAAATGTGAATATGAGTGCCAAAGTGAAACAATATATACTTGTGTGTATTGTTTTCATGAGTGCCAAAGTATTTTCTATTTGTGCTAACAGTATTCTTCTCCATTACTACGTTACTTTGAGTACCTGTGTGATGCTTAGGACCTTGACTATACTTTTAGCACAATAAAGATATGACTGCCAAAGTGAGGAGGAACTGGGATGCCTTGATGCCTGTTGCATGTAAGAAGTGCAATGATTACTCATTGAGTTGGCTGGCTGTAAAGCTAGTTTGCGGATAGGTTAGCCTTGTTTTTGCAATATATACTTGTATGTACTTGTATATGCTTGTATATATTGCCTTCATGAGTGCCAAAGTATTTTCTAACTGTGCCACTAGTATCTTCTCGATGCCTCTTCATTTACCAGTGCCAAAGTGTTCGTAGTCCATTAAAGATTCTTGGAATTGTTCAAAAAAGAAAAAAAAAACGAAAAAGCAAGTAACTTTATCATCAAGTAAGTATTTAAATATTTTACATGCGGAAAAGGGATTTTACAGTTATTTTCTTCGTTTACATGTGTTTAGTTATTTTTAAGTTAGTCATATATCAATTCTTATTGTAATTATGATGATAATAATAAAAAAAGTAATGGGTTATATTTTAATTTTATTTTATTATTGTTTAATAAAAATAAAAGGTTATTAAATTTTTTTTGTTATAAAAATATAAATGTTATTTTTTATTATAGATCTGATTTTTATAAACAGATGAAATACTTTAGATATTTTATTTGAGAGTTAATCGGTATATCTCATTATATCTGTTACGGTAATTAGTTGTTATGAATCTTCATGAACAAGATCCCGTTATAATTTACTTCTTTATGAATCCGTATAGAAGAACATATTCAGATAAATGACATCATAAAATGCATCTGTTCCCGTAGCAGCATTTTACTGTGACGGATTTCCAAAAGAATAGAAATCGCGATATTTAAAATTACTTCCAATTGTCTAATATTTCAGTACGAAAATTATTTCTGAATCTGCACGTTTCTTTAAGAAAAAAATGATTGATTTGGTTTATTTACTATAATCTAAATGATAATTAAACTATACATACTGTCTAAAATATGCTAAATGTCTATTATTTTTGTTTAGAAAACCATTCACATAAATTCATATAAGAATTTTTCTACACATGGAAGTAAAATAACTATTTTATTTCATATAGACCGATTGCTATGTGAATTAGGGATGAGTTGGTCTCCTCTGGACCAGACCTGAGGACGAGGTCCTATATATATCATGTACAGTACAGTTTATCGTCATACTTTTTTTTTTTTAATAAAGATATTAAAGTATAGTAAAATTTAAATAATTTACAGTAACAATCTTGAAAGTTTTTTTTTTTTGATAGGAAGCAATCTAGCTTATAACTTCTATCAAGCTTTGTTATTTAATAATATTTGTATGACATCTCTAATAATTGATATGGATACAAGTATTATTATTATTATTATTATTATTATTATAATATCAAACTAAATTAATAAGAAGATTTATTAATAAAAATTTCCACCCACTTCCAAACTATATCCAATTTGTACGTTAGGAAAGGTTGATTTCAAGGCATATTATTTGACAAAATCGGTAATCCAACGTGATGGCTTTATAGCAACAGTATTATTAGTAATATAAATCTTTTATATTTGATATTTGATATATAAATTTTTTTTGGTAGGACAAAATAAAAAATCAATATCATTTGTTCCTTTCTCGCCACCTAACTTGCCAATAAGCTTTTCATCTTGATAGGATGAAAGAGTATATTAAGAGCAACAACCGCATCAACAGATTTAAAATTCTTTTGAATCGGTTTATAATACTTGCCATCCTCAATCTCTTCAATTTCATTAAATATCAATTTAGGATATTCTTTTATATCAAGTATATCTTTATCGGATAGCCAAACTTGAAAAAATTACAGACAGTTAAGGAGTTTTGTATTAGTAAGCTCATCTGAAAGTGAATACAGTACACTCCGAGGTAACATATTTGAGTAAATCGCCCATCGAATCTTGCCAAAGGAGGTTTATTTAATATTCGTTCCTTAGAATCAGTCTCTTATTCGTAACCAACTACTCAGATGCAAATAGTATAAATTTTTTCATATACCAGTGTCATCATGGTTAATTTCTCCAACAAAATCTAATAATCTCGCATTACTCTTAACAATTGTTTTCTCGATGAGTATCTGCTAAGAATTATTTTCGAAATTCTCGAGGGATCCCTCCTAATTTCATGAACAAATCATTAATTTTATTAAGTTTATTAAAAATCCTATTTCTACATGTCTCAATCTCATCCCAAGACCACACTGGCATGAACCGTATTATTGCCCCAATATACTTATCGAAGTTTCTATAATAATCTTTCTTAGGCGAAACAAGAATTGGTTTGGTCTCAACTTTCGCTGGTATCTTTCCATCCACAATGTACCAAACTTTTGGTTTATGAAATCTTTTCATTTAAATTCAAAACTTCGATGACTTTTTACCTTTCCAAAGACAATTGGAGAAAGCTTATCAACACTATCCTAAACAATTATTTTATTTTTCTGTGTAAGCAATATAAAGTATGCAATAGTCAAAAAAAGTCTTCCCAATTCCTAGATTACTGGTTATACGTAATTCTTCTTGCATTCTCATCAAATACAACTTTGAGCAGTCGCGGTAACATTTACGGATAAACATGAATGTTTGTATCTTCTAAAAACTTGGCATACTCTGGTAGTTTAAGGAAATTTCTTGTTCGTTAATTTTTGTGTCGTTTAAAGTTTTCCAAAGTTTCTTCAGTTGTTCACTAGTTATATAGAAATAAATATATAAGCCACGGTTTAATAAAAAAAAAATGACAACACAGAAAGTGGTGCAGATTTTAAATATTCAAAAAAAGTTGAGATACTTACTTTCCTCTTTGTTCTTAATTTTCCTAATCAATCCTGCGATTGCTCCAGTTGGTCCATCAAGGAGATTCAAGGAGATTATATGGTGAAGCTTTAAGTTGTTCTTTAAATAATCAAAGGAATGCAAGACCGGCAACCGGTTATCTTTAATTATCTGAATATCTTCTTCAAGATCCAAGTCTTCTTTTCTATTTCGTAAAAATTCAATAATTTCCAACTGTTTCCATTTTGTATTTCTTCGAGGAAGAGACATGTAAGATTAGATTTTTTGTCACACTATAATTAAAAAACATTTTTATATAATCAACAAAATTATTGAATTTAAAAAGTCATAATCATAATAATGAAACGAATGTTAACAAAAAGCAAACAAGTATATGAAAATTGGAAAATTTATTCTTTGGAAAATGAATTAATGTTTCGTTGTAATAGGTATATTTTCTAATACATTCTTAATATTCTTAATGCATTTTTCTAATTTATTTAATTTATTCTATATAATTTCTTTCCTTCTTTCTTAATAATAATAATAATAATAATAATAATAATAATAATAATAAAAAATAATAATAAATTTTTTTGACAGTAAGAAAGCGTTATGGTATCTATCACGCAATTTAGCAACTCAAATATCAGAAGATAGTATTCAATTAAACTTTATTCCCAAAGGTTTAGGACATTATTACCAGCTTCAACATGATGATGATGATGATGATGATGATAATTATTTTCTAGAAGATAAAATGAATTATTGTGTTTGTTGTGGAAATAATGAAAGTTTGACTTTACATCATGTTGGTAAATAAGAAATTTAACTTTTTTTTTTTTTTGATGAATTATTATTGTTATTTGGATTAGTATTTTAAAACTTTTTTGAAAAGTTCCAAATATGTATAGGAAATATATGCCAGAAGTTATAAAATCACATGCGGTAAGAATATTGTAAATAATGTAATAAGAATTATTTTATCATCAATTTTTTATATATTCATAAACATTTTATATAGAGTCATGACATTTTATTAATGTGTATAAAATGTCATTCAACTTACGAAACATTTGCGATGGAATTCAAAAAACAAATTTCTCAAAAATTCAATTTCCCATTAGATGGTCAGGCACAAATTCGATTGGATTATAATGCAAAAGTAAGAAAAGCTGCTTCAGCCTTATTAAGAGAATTTAATAACATGAAAGATATTGTGATGAAAGGTATTGATGAGAATGAAGAATCAAAGGTCATTAATGATAATAATAATAATAATAATTATAATAATTATAATAATAATAATTATAATAATTATTATAATAATTGTTGGAAAAGAAAGCAAAATAAAATTCCTGATAAACGAATTCAAGAATTAAAAAAAATTGTCCTAGAATGGTATAATTCTAATCTTCCAAATTTTCAAACCAATGAAAACAATGATGACAATAATAATGATGAAGGCAACGATAATGAAAATAACAATAATGAAGATAACAGAAATATTTTTGATCCAAAATTCTTTAATTCAATTTTACAAAAGGCAATTGAATTACCAGAATATCAAAAAAATCCAGAATTCATTGAACACGGGAAATTTGTTATTGATTCTTTAATGAAAGAATATTATTATATTAAAATTTTATCAGAAACTGATAAACAAGAAATATTTATCAATGAAATTGACAATAATATTGATAATAATATTGATAATAGTATTGATAATAAAAATTGGAAATTAAAGAAAAGATGGCCGTTACTTGAAAATTTTATAAAAAATTGGAGATCCCATTTTTTAAATTATGCTAAACCAAAATATTTATCAAATAATTGGAAAGCTGATAATAAAATTTATATTGAATAATAATAATAAATAAATTTTAATAATTTATTGATTTTTAATTTCCTCTTATAAATTTATTATTATTATAAAAATTATGTTTAACCCAATACCTTTCTATCTATCTATAACCACCAAACTAAAGGGTTATAGAAAATTTGTCAAACATTTTATTTTTAAGCAGTTTACTTAAGTTTCTTCTTCATACGCAATTGATTGGTATGACCACACTATCATATAAAATATAAAATATAAAATTATGAGTATAATAATAATAATAATAATGTGGTGGTGAAAATGTCAGAAATGGATGTGTACATGTATATATATATATACGATATATATATATATATGGGAAATATGCAATTCAAGAAATTATTTAAAAATAATATAAATACCTTCTTCTTACGACAATTAGTAGCACGAGGAGGTAAACGTGCGTAACATTTACGACAAATCATCTTTTCACAATTATATTTTGATGCCAAGGCTTTAAGAGATGGTTCAATGATACCACCGCGAAGACGTAAAACCAAATGTAAAGTGGATTCCTTTTGTATATTATAATCGGATAAAGTACGTCCATCTTCGAGCTATATTTAAAATATCATTTATAATAATAATAGTAATTATTATTATTATTATTATTTATTATAGAAATAAATTCTTTCATAAATTCTAATGATTTTTTTTTTTACCTGTTTACCAGCGAAAATCAAACGTTGCTGATCCGGAGGAATACCTAATAATATTAAAATAATATTAAAATAATATGATTATAAAATTAAATTTGATTATTGTAAAATATCACTTTACCTTCCTTATCTTGGATTTTTTGTTTAACATTGTCGATGGTGTCAGTACTATGTATTCAAATATCAGTTATATATCATCATATTAATAAAAAAAAATTTTTTTAAAGTCTGAAACATGAAAGAATTCTGTAGATTGAGAAATTCTTTATTTGGAAGGTTTCATTTTAAAGCTGCATTAAAAAAGAATTTTATTATATATTACCTTTCAACCTCAAGTGTGATGGTTTTGCCGGTAAGAGTTTTTACAAAGATTTGCATGATGTTTAGTCACTAAATAAAGAACGGTTTATAATATATTTTTATCTAACAGCCAGCAAAGGAAAAAAAAAAATAAAATAGAAATCAAAGATATTTATATTTTCACGATGATCACATGGTTACGGCACAGTAAAAAAATAAAATATATCGAACACTTTTTTTTTTTTTTTTTGCATAAAAGTTTTACTTAAATATCTTATTCAATCATTATTGATATATTGAGACCAAAAAAAAAAAAAATATACATAAAAAAAAATTAAATAAATAAATGATACTAATAATACTGTAAATAATTGACTAAACAGATAGAAATATACTACTAAATTATGCAAAACTTTCAATGGCTCTTTGTGACATCATTTATAGGACATTCGAAGGAAAGACAAAGAGTATAAAAAAAAAAAAAATTGTATATAATAATAATGAATTCTCCAATCTTTTTCTAAAATAATTTTTTTTTAAAAAAAAAAACTTTATTTTTTTTTCGGTAGGATTTAATGATATCTGAAAAAGTTATGAAAAAAAAATTATGAAAAAGTTATGAAAAAGTTATGAAAAAGTTATGAAAAAGTTATGAAAAAATGATGAAAATTATGAAAAAATTAATAAACAAAACAAAAAAAAAAAAAATCTATATTATTATACAAAAAATATAAATATGTATATATATATATAAAATCTTTACATTTGAAGACTTCCATCAGAAATTTCTCTATCATTTGTCATATCATCATTTAATTGATTTCCTTCATCTGAATTTGAAGCAGGTTTTAACATAGGAGTTGGTTTCGGTCCTCTTAATGCTCCAGGTAAAATATATTTCGCGTATCCAAATAAGGAAAACCCAATGTTGATCATGACTTGAAACATTCCACGTGGTGTTTGTTCTTCATGTATTTTACATGAAATAAAATTATCAAATTCTCGCATCTTGGATTCCAAATATGCAAATCTTTCATCAGAATAATTTCTAAGGTATTGTTCTTTTTTCTCATATCTTCGAACCGCTCGATTTAATTGAGAAATAGTTGGTTCAAATCCATCCCTTACACTGATGACATCACGTTTCGTGGCAAATCCTCGACGTAATTGAGATAATTCATATTCTAAATGTTGTACCCGCCTTTTTAATAATTCTACTTCCGTGCTAGGATAATGAACTTGTTCTTGTAAATGTAAGGTTCTATTTTTGGCGAGACTAGTTATATGCATTAATGGTCGAATTCCAGCCGCAAATACAAAAAGTACAATATTGAAATGGGAAATGTATTTATCATAATCAGTTAAATACATTTTTGCCCCATGTAAGGCATATCCACCAAGAATTGGAGATCCAATAACGAATAATAAAGCAAATGTTTCTTGTCGACGAAGTTCAATCGCTGCACGATTTCGTTGTTCATCTTCAACTAGATCTACGTTCTGACCTGTAATTTGATCATTTATTACACGTCTTGACCTAGCTGCATAATATAATTCCCAGGGAACTATAAAAATAAATTAATAAAATATCTTGTGTGAATAATTTTAAATAAATAATTTGAATAATCATAATTATAAATTTTGTATGGCTTAAATTTTCTTATATGACAAGTCATCAAAGTAACCATTAAAATCTCTGAGTCATTGTCACCAAGTAACTACTAATCACTGAGTCATTAAATAAATTAAATAAAATAATAAAATAAAATAAATAAAAAAAACAAAGGAAATACCTTTTATAATATTGTATAAGTAGAAAGCGATCAATAGTAATAATAAAAAATCACTCCATATATCCGATTTACCATAAATGAGAGCACCCATTGGCGGTACAACAGCAAATAAAATAGGCCAACTATAAGCGTGAGATGAAAAAGAATCTGAAGTTGGATCCCTTATTAATTCAGGAGGTCCGGTTGGAATTTCAGATTCAGATTTTTCTCGATGAAATTTTTTATTATCATTTTTAGAATTAGGTGAATTATTATTATTATTATTATCACTACTATGATTATTATGATTATGATTAGTGGGGGTTACGATACTAGCAGAATTTGGACCACTATTTATATTAACCATGGAACTATTACTAACATGAATGTGAGGAGGAGTATGATTATTGGTCACACTTGCCAAAGAAGGAGTTGAAGAGTTACGCGATAAAGACATTTCGGAAATATTTTCTCTAAAATTTTTTTCGGAATCTATTTTAGACTTTGATTTTCTAGAACGTAATTGTTGTTTCTCTTGACCAACGGGTTCTGGGTGAAAATTAAAAGTTGTCGTGGTTGAAACGGTGGGAGTAGGAGGTTGTGAAGGTTGACTTAGGAACTTTTGAGATGCAGCTATCAATTCTTGTATACGTAGTTCTTCGTTCTTTTCAATAAAAGCTTGGGAAGTTTCGGTAAGGGTCATTTAGATTATATTTTTTTTTGTTTATTTGAATCAATAAACTTTCTAATTATATTTGCTTTTATTGTTGTTTTCTTTTCGTTGGATTCAATAAAATCGTTAAATATATTAATGTTTTTAAAAAAAAAAAAAAAAAAAAAATTCAATAAATTCTCGAAAGTGAAGTTTCCCAGTGAAAATAAAAAAAATGAAATTGAGATTATTAAGGCGTAAATAAATATATATATATAAAATTTTAAAGGAGAAAGTTTCTTAGAGTTTCAGAAATGATATTCACAATAAAAAAAAGGTTTATGTAAATGAGCGACAACCATTTAAATTCTTTTTTTTTTTTTAATGTTACCTTAAATATTTTATATTAAACTTTAAACTCTATATTAAGATTATATTAAGTTCGATAATGATATTTTGTTCGATATCGCATCGGATATATTGATATTTAAATTTTAATTATTTTAATTGGAAATTTTCTTACCAGGGATATGATTAAAAAATAGTAACTTACGATTAAATACCTATCACGGGGATCCCCCGAATCCTTTGTGAATTAAGGAGTGAGAATAATAATTGTTTCCCTTTTTAAAATATTACCTCCAGATTTTAGGGTTCGCATGTTTTTCTGCTAAAACTCTCGTTTTTTGCATCAATTGGATTTTGAAAAACGCAAGAATTAATTTATGTTATATATATATGAAAGACTAACCAATCAAAGAATAATTACTTCCCGCCAACTTTCTAATATAACTCCTTTAAACCCTTACCTATTTTTTCTAAAATTTTCCAAATACATATATATATATTTTCAGTTAATTGCCTCAATCATCACTCTTCCCACACACCCGCGCATAATGCATGCTGTTAAGATTAAGATTTTTATGGTTAAAATTATCAGCAAATAATAATAAAGTTAATTAATGTATATATACTGTTTAATTTCGCATTATTATTATTATTATTATTATTATTATTATTATTATTATTATTATTAATTATATTATCAGTTTAAACCATCTGTATTATCAGTAACATCAGTTCCATCAGTTGATTTTGTAGTTCCATTTATTAATTTATTAGGTGAAAAAATTTTCATGTTACATTTTAATACCAAAAAGAGATGATACATGTGAAAGTAATAATATATATAGTACTTTATTAACTCTATGTCAACCTGCTGTTTTGATAGCAGGTGTTAAAACCTTTGTTTGATTGTTTTTCAGGTTTTTATCAAAAGTTTTTTAAGAAATAATTTTTTGCTGGTGGATTATGTTAATTATATGGTTGAACGCTGAAAGATGTTTCATAAATCAAGTTTTTTTTTTTTGAAAATCCGAATTTAAAAAGTCTTATCTTGAAAGAAAAGTCATGTGGAATGGGTATTTTATATTTATTAAAATATTTATAATAATAATGATAAATAAAAAAAAAAATTCATTGATAATATTAAGTCTGTACAACATAGGTATTTCGTAAAAATTTAAAACAAAGTCTGACAAGGTACCCCAAAAAAAAAAAAAACAAAAACAAAAAACTAGTAAGTAAAGAATCCTTCACGAGTTTTACGTCCAAATTTACCTTCCTTAACATGATCATCTAGCATCTTGGTTGGAGCAACAATGTGCGGATCAATATTACCACTCTTACGCCAACCATCTACAATCGACTTTAATGTATCTAATCCAATAAACTAGAATAAAATAAGTTAAAAAAAAACATAAATAAATGTATAAGATAAAATATATATATATATATATATATATATATATATCAAATGCAGAATAGAGAATAAATAAATAAAATAAATAACTAAATACAAACATCACATAATTCAAAAGGACCCATAGGCATTCCAGCACCTGATTTCATAGCCATATCAACGTCTTTTGGATCAGCTACGCCACGATCAACAAGACGAATTGCTTCCAATAAATAAGGTACTAAGAGACGATTGACGATGAATCTACAAAATATAGTACATATATATATGTATACATAATATAATAAATAATATGTTATAAATTTAATAAAGTTATTAATTTACCATTTACCATTTACCCAGGAGTATCCTTGCAAGCTACAGGAGTTTTATCCAAATTTTTCACAAATTCCATTAAAGTTTCATAAGTTTCATCATTAATTTCTTCAGTTCTAATCACTTCCACCAATTTCATTTGTGGAACTGGATTAAAAAAATGTAATCCGGCGAATCGATCCGCTCTTTTCGTTACTTTTGCAATTTCTTTTATAGGTAAACTTGAAGTGGTAGTAACAAAGATTGTTTTCATTGGTGTAATTTCATCTAATGAACCAAATAATTGTTGTTTCTGATAAATATCTTCGATAATTGCCTCAATAATCATGTCGGCATCTTTAGCACTTTCGGATGAATTGGTACTAGTTTTTATGTTTGATAAAGTAAAATCAAATAATTCTTTTTGTTTTATTTCATCATCTTCATATAATTTTTTAGCTACTCGGTGTAAAGATGCCTTAATGATATTTTTACTTCGGTCTAATACTTTTTCATCAAGATCCACCATGGTCACCGCATAACCTTTTTGTGCTGCTACTTGACTAATTCCAGCTCCCATAAGACCCGAACCATAGACTGTAATGTTTTTCAAGTGTTGCATAGGTGAAGGTATAGTGGAATATGCATAAGAACCAACTAAGGGACGAAGATATGTTTTATGAAGAAATGAACGAACAAGTTGAGACATTTTTTTGAAATATATTATGAATCGAATATTTTTTTTTGATTATCAAATATTATTTATCTTTTTTTGGACGTCACGAGAATTTACAAAAATTTTTCCGTGGTGATCGACGATTCATAAAGAAACTATGTAATTAACCTGAGAAAGAGATAAAATGCCACAATCTAAAGACACATATACATATTGTAAACTCCAATAAAAATAATAAAATGAAATCTACAATCAGAATAATAGGAAGCAGATGATCTACATAAAAAGTAGTTATTCTATTAACCCTCGAAGAGCTGATCTTCAAATTGGTTTTATTAAATTTTTTTAATCCTTTTTTTTTTTTTTATCTGAATGAGTTAGTACTCCCGACATCAAAGAATACAAATTATGAAAAAATACATTTTTTTTTCTTGTTATTATTAAATATTTACTAGTATTATATTAGTTAATCTGTATGATTTAAATAGGAATGAAAAATGTTGTACAGTGGTAAAATGAAATGTTTGTTAATGTCAGTGGATTAACACCACGTGTGTATTTATATGATTTGTACACGTATACACATGCACACACACAAACACACACACACGCGACCTATCTAAAATAATCGTGAAAAAAATTTTTTTTTTTGATATGATACTATAATTCGTTATGTTCGTGTTTTGGAGTTATTCGGTCCGTATTAGGAAAAAGATTTTTTAATCCTAAAAAAATAAATATATGAATATACATTTAATCTATTTTCATATTCGATATAATCTTGATAATAAATTTATAAGATTTTACCTTGTTTTGTCTTTTCATCTATAACCGAAGGGAATACTACTGTATATTCTACATACAGATCTCCTTTAGATTTTGTTCGATGTTGAGGCATTCCTTCATTCTTAATTACTTTGACAAATCCTGGTTGCGTAACTTGATCACTTTTCAATATTACTGTTCTTCCATCAAGATGTGTGAAATTCTTTTCAAAACCCGTTAATGCCTGAACATTTTAAACAAAAATTTAATAAAAAAAATAATATAAATAATTATATAATAATTTTCTCTCTCTTATCTATACTGTTAACTTACATCAATTAATGATATTGTTTCTTTTGTATATAAATCATCACCGTTTCTTTCAAATTGTGGATGAGGGAGAGTTTTTATTTTAAATATAATATCACCGGGTATTGTATCGGGAGCTTCATCACTTTCTTTCTCAAATTTCTAATTTTTTTTTTTAAAAAATATTTTTTTTGTTATTCGATAATTATAATTTTTTTTTCTTTTTTTTAAAAAAAAAAGTATTTTTGGCTTTGAAAAATTTACCACATCACCACCATCTACCATTCCAGCATCAACGATAACGTTTAATTGTTCAGTCGTACGACGAACTTTTTTCCCTTCGCAAATCGGACATTTTGTTTTTATCATTTTTCCTTTCCCACCACACTTATCACATCTAAGAAATAATTAATTAAATAATTAATTAAATAATTAATTAATAATTAATATTCCAATGTATTAAACAATAATAAATAAATAATTCAAAAAAAAGGAAAAATTCCATATTTGATTATTGATAATACCCACGTTGAATGAAATTGTTGAAAAATCCCTGGTCCAAGCATTTGTTTAACCACTTTCATACCCTCCCCATTACAAGCCGAACATGTTATTAAATCATCTGCACTTTTTGCACCAGTTCCTCTACATTGTTCACATATAACTTGTTTTGAAACATCAACTTCTATTTGAGTTCCTAAATATAATTCTTCTAATTCTACTTCTAATTCCATGACTACATCTGGTCCTTTACGTTCTGTTTGCTGATTTTTACCTAATTATTTAAATTATTTTAGAATTAATTTTTTTAATTATTTCATGTAAAACTGATATAAAAAAATTTGATAATATCAATTTTTTCATACCAAAATGTCCTGAACCACCAAAGAATTGAGCAAAAATGTCAAAAGGATTATGAAAGTCTTGACCTCCCGTATTATGTTTCAATCCTTCTTCACCAAATTTATCATATATCGAACGTTTTTCATCATCCGATAAAACTTCGTATGCTAGATTTTAAAAATTAATTCGATTCCAAAAAAAAAAATCATCAATTTAGATATTGTGTGTATGTGTGTCAACTTGTCAACGCTCTCGTTTTTTTTTTTTTTTAATATGATTAATTCGTTCCCTTCATAATCAAACGTTAACCCCGAGAATCTAAAGCCATTGAACTAAAAACGCGATTTTTTTTGATTAACGGACTTAAAAATTTATTTACCTTGCGCTAATTGAACAAATTTTTGTTCCGCTTCCTTGTCTCCAGGATTTTTATCGGGATGGTATTTTTTTGATAAAAGTTTATACTTTTTTTTTATTTCTCTAGTTGTTGCTGAACGAGGAACATCTAAAATTGAATAATAATCCGTTCCTCCATATATAAGATCAACCGAAAGTAACAATAAAAGTCCCCAAAAAGATATGGATGTGAGCTTCATAATAATCAGAAATAAGAATATTGTATTAAAGGAAAAGATGGGTTTTTTTTTGTAAAAAAGAGAGATAAAACTATTGTAGATCTGTTTTGCTGTGTTGTTCTATATTAATTGGTTGATAAAATAGACAAAATAATCAAAAAACGTGTCAATTTTTGTGTGCAGTATACATCTTCATTGTAACCCGCAGTACACAAAATTGTATCAATCGATTATATCACAAAATAATATTCTCAAAACTTTTCTCAAATTTTTCTCAAAAGTGCTAATTTGATAAATCATGATATTTTTTTGATGTTAATGACGGATCTAAATATTTCTTGAATACTTCTTGCAAAAGACTACAGTACTAATTTTTTAAAAGCTCAGAAGTTAGGATTCGAACCTGTTAGTGAATTTGCATATCTTTAAATGGTAATAACCCGACAAATATTCGTGAAACTACTTGAAATAAAAGCTTTTTGAAGAATATTTTAATTAAAAATAATACAAAATAATTTTTTTTTGATTAGCGTACAATATGAATAAATTAAAAATAACAAATTGATCAAAAAGTTATATATATATATTGATCGGTAAAAAACAGAAATCAATTAAATCTCGAGAAAATAAAAAAAAAAAAAATAATAATCAATTAATCAATCTATGATGGTTACCATGAAATAAATATAAATTCCTTAACATTATCGCTTTTATATGTCATTCAATTATTTTTGGTTCTATAGAATTCTCTAATGAGTTATTATAAATATTGTATAGTTAAAATTATTGACGAGATGGAAAATAATTTAAAATTTGATTTACCTTTACCAGAATCTTTATCAAAATTGTCGGATAATTATGATTAGGTTACGATTTGATAGTTAGTTAGTTATCATTTTATATTTGTTTGATGAAATACCATGTAATAATTTTTTCTTCCGAACTAAAACTTGATTTTTCATTATAAAAAAAAATAATTGTTATATAGAAATTTATTTCAAATTTATTGATTAAAGTTAAATACATGATTAAAATATAAGTAAATTATTAATATATGATGAAAAAATAAGTAGATTTAATTCCTTAACCAACTTTAAAAATCTTCAAAAAGATCATTGTACTCCTCAGTAGAATCTAAGACTTCTTCCTCTTCCGAATATTTTCCATAATTTTTGGTATCTCCCGAATTTTGAACAGAAGGCCGAATGGGAGCTTCGATTTCCTTATTATATATTTTGTCCCAATCAATTCCATTAAAAAATTTTTCTTCTCTAATATCTTGGGCATTATTTAATCTTTTAGTTTCATTTACCCTTAATAATTTTTTTATGATTATTTTTGCGTCACGATTGAAATTTTTAGGAAATTTTAGACTTCCTTTTATGATCAAGTTATACGTTTCAAATACCGAATCACCACAAAACGGAGGGGTCCTAAAATAAATAAATAAATTATTATTATTATTATTATTATTATTATTAAATATATATACTATTCATTTAATCTTTATAATCTTTATAAACTTACCCCAATAAAATTTCATAAATGAAAATTCCGAAGGCCCACCATTCGGCCGCATAACCATATTCTCTTTTTAATATTATTTCGGGTGCTAGGTATTCAGGCGTACCACAATAAGTGACAGTCCTAAAAAAAAAAAGAAAAATATTTTTAAAATAAAATAATTAAAATATACATATTTAGTTAAAATTATTTTACCTTTCGTTGTTGATCCTTTTAGCAAACCCGAAATCGATTAGTTTTACGTGCCCGTTGATATCTAACAAAACATTTTCGGGCTTGAGATCTCTATAGATAATCCCATTTTGATGTAAGAATTCAAGTGCTAGTAAAACTTCCGATGCATAAAATCTAGCAATGGAAACTTCAAATTTTTGTGCTTTCATTAAATGAGTAAATATTTCACCACCTATAACGTACTCTTGGATCAAATAAAGATTATATTTATCCTTAAAGGACCAAAATAATTTTACGATGAAAGGATTTTCCAAATCCCTTAATAAATTTTTTTCCGAAATTGTGTGCTCGACTTGAGCAAATTGAACAATTTTTGATTTTTTAAGCACCTTCATCGCGTAATAATTTTGATTATATTTACATAAGTGAACGCGGCCGTACGCTCCAGTACCTAAAGTTGATAGTTTTTCAAAATTATTTAAATTTGGTTGCTGTTTTTGTTGTTTCTTTTGAAACTTTTTCAAAGCCGAATAAGCAATAAAGGTAGTTATAGTGAATGAAACAAGGTTAAAAAACATTTTGAAATAAAGATGTAATATAAGTAAAAAGAAGAATTTTTTTGACAATTAAAAAAAGACAAGTGAAAGCAACCGATGAAAAATAAGAAATCTATTTAGTATTTATATACATATTAATGAACGCGATTTCACGTTATCTGCATTCCGTTTATTATTGTTTATATACATATTAATGAAGCGATTTCACTTGCATTGCATTCCGTTTTGTATTTTTTGTCGCGCTCACGATCGGTCAGGTGAAATGACATACATCAATACAAAGGTATCGTTTTTGATAGATCTATGGTTATTTTTTATTTGTTACGCTCACATCAATCAGGTGAATCAATTCATAATTATCATGTGACCAAAATATTTGAGGAGACGCACGAAACACATTGTCATTTTTACATTTTCAAAGACGCAATTTAGATATACTGTTTTTTGCGTTTTAAAAGACGCGACAGAACACATTATCATTTTCTGAGCGCAAATATATTAAGTTTATTTTTAAAAAAAAAACTGTCACATATAATGATGTACAATCGAGTCCATTAACGCAAGTAATCATCAGCCTGATAATGCTTCGACAGAAAATAACAAAAATGAACAACACAAGCACCAGTAAATCCTATTACTCCAAGTTCAAAAGGATTCAACTCGAGTCAAAGGAAAGTTTAAGCTTAACCGAAGGTTTGAAGAGCTAAACCTTGAAAAAAAGAAATTCAAGGGTTTGTTACTTTGACTAATATAAAACTATAGTTCGTTATTTTCTTTGGAAATGTATTAGGAACATTTTATACATTTTTAATTTTATGGAAGGATTAAACGCAGAATTATCATTTCGTCAAGTAATGATAATGATTATGAAAACAGATGATTTTGTAGACATATGTATAGCTTTTTCTCGATTTACATTTAAGAGAAATCAAAAATAATAATCATCAAAATAAAATTTTCGATTATTTTTTGATTCTTAAGACTTTCTCTAATGAGTTAATATAAATATTGTATAACCAAAATTATTGTCATTGCTGATATGATACAATGTAAGGAACGATACGAATAACAGAATTACTCATTCAATATATAGATACTGTAGTGAAGTGATTGTTTTTTATATAATTTTATCATGGAGGAAAGTGTGATTGGATAAAAAGTGACTTTTTTAATTAGTCAATATATTATTTTTATAAAAAAAAACTATAATCGATTCAATTTTTATAAATCATATTGGATTTGATTCATTAACGATTTAACAATTGATTTTTTTGTATCACTATTGTTACATGGTTACAAAAAATTGACTGAAAGTTAATTGTAAATATCCTATAAACTATTAAGTAAATTTACTAGAATTTTCTTGAATATAATATAAAATTTTACTGATTGAGATTGAAAGTTACCATCATATCTTGGGGGTGATATCTAAATATATTACTCTTCAACAATTCATTTGGCTCCATATCAACTAAATCTTCAAGTATATGAACATGAAACTCACCGGAATTTAACAAAGTTCTTGTGATAGTTTTGCCGCCTTATGATTTTCTTGATCTGGGTTCATTCTTGCTGCTTCATGATCACTAAAGACTTTATTAAGAAATCGCTTTTTAATAACTAAAGAAAAATAAAAGAAAAATGATTAAACAATTAATTTAAAGTAGAATTGCATAAATTTGATTGATGAAAATAACGAAACCAACACAGGTTAAAATATTATCTATTTGTCACCTATTAAGTAGCAAATAAGTGAAAAATAGATGTAATCTTTATGCAGAAGATTGGGAGTTATCAGATACCTAATATATAACAAAAATATTTTTCACACATATCGGGTGCTTTGTGAGTGCCCAATTTTCTACGTAAATACTACTATCGTTATTATCTGATATGTAATAAGTAGATAACATTTCGAGGGTTGGTCAAAAGTCACCGGACAGTTGAAAATTTTTAAAAAAATTAAAATGCCATTAGTGCCACAATGAGTGATCTAAATTGCACAAACTTTTTTTTATTAGATTCCCCTAAATCAGAGTTATCATATGATATATTTTTTTGTTAAAAATTAAATGCCCACACGTAGAGAAATTACACTTCAATAAAATTGACAAAAAACAATAAATTTAATCTTTAATTGTTGTCCGTACCGGAATCGAAGGATTTTAAAGATAGATGCCAACTATCTTATATGGAATTGTAGCCAGAAACAATAT